TCCGTTGGACTGATGGAGCCGTGTGATTTGTACGAGACACCTAGACTGGTCTTTATCCGATGGCACTTTTTTGATGCCTTTGGACAAGCGAATGCTCTTCGATCATCTGATAGACTGAGTATTTTTTGAATAGCGTCAGCCTTCGGTCTATGGGCGTATAAAAAATGGAAATAGATGATTAAACTTAGTAAATGGTCTGGAAAGCTAACGCCTGCAATCTTGATCGTGCATTGAAGCAAGCAAGTTTGTTCATCTTAAGGTGGCTAGGATAGGCGTTACTCATATCATCGGGTATCATTCACCGGCGTGAGATTCCCACCGAGGCAAGTAATTGGTCAGAGGGAGATAAATGTGATCAGTATGAGATCTAATCTGAGGGTAAGATTACCGCATTCCATGGTCTCAGTCGCATAGACTTCGTGGGATGGCAACAGTCGATCGTTAGTAGCGCTCCCATCCTTAAACTCTTCAATTTACTACTTCCTTGTCGATCGACCGAGGGACTAGCAAAAGGTCACCAATCAAAACGGACGTACGGCAGTTCAAGTTAAAGGTGGTGAAAACGAAACTCAAAGTTTGAACACTTGAAACTTCTGTTTGTTGATGCACAAAGTGACAAAGCAATTTTCTATTTCATATGAAGCTCAAAGCGCAGTTTTTCAACATAATTATTTACATCAAACGCGTTTTCGTCCCACAGAAAGCACACCATCATTACCATGAACTGTCTCACTTTCAGACGAAGGCGCAGTTGATTGCATGCATCAAAACATCCAGATGGAGAATTCAAACGTGGATGAAGAAAGCACAGCTTTGTGGAAGGCAGCCTGGTGCAGTGAATTTCTCCCCGTAGCCAATGAATTTCTTGCTCGAATCACTCAGTGCTGAAGTTCCCCCAAACCGAGTAACGAATGAAAATACGGCTCAAAATTTATCACAAACCAATTTGAATAAAAAATAAGCCAATTGTACTGCATCTTAAGAGTGCTGTAAGATTAGTTGCTGAGGCAGTCCATACTATCTTTCATGCGCCTACTATTTGTCACTGATGAGCTATGATTCATATTGAAAAAGGCTTTTGTTTGCTGTTTTCTCTAAAAGGCTGTTTAGACTTCGGTTGAGCCCAAACAACAAAATTTATTTTCACACCACATTTCGTTGTTTATTCTTAATTTTCACAGTTTTACCCCCCCCCCCCAACCTCATATCATAGCAAGTTATTCTGAGCACAGACAATATATTGCTTTGCTATCTGATTTCTGTCGTCCTTATTTCCTAGACCAGGTTGCTCGTGAGTTTTTTCTTCTTTCAACAGCATTTTCCATTTTCCGTTTCTGCATGCACAGAAGACAACACATGTTCTTACGGTGCCTTTTACCAAACAAAATTTCGCCCCTACATTCTGATGTGAGATTGATTCAGGTTTGGTCATAGAAGCACTATTCTGCATAATGAAATACTAATTAATTGATTATTCCTGATGCTTATTAGGACTTTGGGCAGCTTGTCCTTTGCTCGTTTTCTGTCGTGAGATATATGCTATTTCTGCTTGAATGATTGTCCTGAGACCCCGTCTTTCTTCTTTGAACTGAATCGCATTGTACGAAGCACCAAATTGTGAATAGTTCTATGACTAGCACTATCTGTGCTATCCATCACAGAGTGAGTTCAAATTTGCCCGTGTGGTTTATTCCTGTGCTCATCGGAAACTTGTTTATTGTTGTTGTTCTGAGAGAAGCTCCCTGAACAACATATTTTTGTGACTTACTTCTTTATTTTCTCACCTTACGGATACGTTCAAAGTGAAATCAGATGGCGCATATGCAGTAATAAAAAAGGTTGAGTGTTGAATAGAAATCAAGAATAATTATGGCGCAGTACTTCACGGGTCTCGTACCCAAGTCACGCCACACACACACACACCTCCCAACAACCATAGTCTTATTTCACTTGAAAGAGGCATTTGACACATTCGATCGTGAAAACCAATCCGGTTTCCCTTTCTTGTTTAGTACTGCCCCGGAGTTGTCCCAGTCCATTGAGACTATTTTACTTCTGGTTGTATGAGGGTCTACGGCGAACTTTGCGGTCGGTTCGAAACCAGTGGTATTTCACAATGGCTTCTCAACCAATGATTCTTGTTCGGTTTCACCATAAACAAAAGACAAACTATCGAAACATTTCCTAGGTGGTTTCGTATTGAATGTATACTCAAAGCTTTCAAATGTCGCATCTTGAACAGACATGACAGAAGACCCATTCGACGAGAGAAAATCCTTTCGTAAACTGCCCTCAGGCCCCAGCTAACAAAATTCGATAATAAATTACAACAGAAAGGGACATTTATTGTGAAACTAGCTCAAAAGACGAAACCAAAGGTGATTGGTCAAAGTCAAGGCATGTTTGGAATCAGTGTCACAGGCTTTCGTACCTACAGGACTGGCTCAAGGTAGGTGATTTTTAAAGCCTCTCATATTCGTAACCGTTATGAGTCGCGATGATGTAACACGATACAGGACTCATCAGTCTGATCAACTACTGTCCATCAAATGACGAGCGATCGCCGATGTCGCACTTATGCTGGGTTGGTTAGGCTGAGTCAGTACCTTTAGCACCTATTCCGGTATGTGTTCGGTCATTCTTGTTCCCAATATCCAGTCAGGTCTACCGACTTATGCTTCCTTGCGACTGCAAAATAAGGCCTAAATGCAGGGAGAGATGCAGAAATGCGGTCCGTGAATGATTATATTGGGAGCCGTTGTGGTGGTTTACAGATAGTGACGCAGCATAGAAAGTCTTTCTGAGACCGCTTCTGATGAATCGTAATCTTAACTGCAGCAATTTCACTTCGGTACACACTGAGCCCTGGTCAAGGTCTATCTTCGTTCATGAGTGTCACTCATCCACGCTACGCTTCGGTTAAGTGATATGCAATTGGCATAATTGCGTTGGGAAGAGCAAGGGGTGTATTGGAGGATATACAGAACGATTCAAAATGGAAATTAAGTAGATATAAAAGAGGAGGGACACCTTCTTTTGCGTGTCGCACGGATGTACTCAGGAAACACCTCTGGTCTTCAGGTCAGTTGAGCCTAGCCAGGTAAGTCATAAGAAATTATCCAGGTTTGAATCGGCTCCTGATGTATTTTGTGGAATTGTCGCTCGGCTGAACCAAACATACGTCACTCCTTTTCCACAGTGTAATTTATAATTTAGACGATGTATTTTCTTGTCAACATCTCCTTGGATTTCCCTAGTTCATAATCCATATTTCGTTCCGTAGGATTTGTTGGTGTTCTGTCGAAAACTTTCTACCAGACGATCGACGTTTTAGGTACTCGAATAACCTTTCTGCATACCTGTTTACAGTCCACCAGTTTTGAGGCAGGTTACCCACTGTTACCAAAAGGTCAACCTTATTTTCCGACGATACTGCTACTGGATATCAGAAATTTACATCTAATCTTCCGCCTGGCTCATTTATACCTGTAACTGTAATCAACCTGGTAAATCGGAGCAGTACATCTGGGATTACAGAGGCATGAGTCATATCAATTGATTGGCTCATTCGTGGCCCGGGTTAGTACACTCTGGTGTGCTGAGTCTGATACTCCTCCACCCATCAGATTGAATTATATCACAGATTAATTTCAAAGCAATTACTTGACCACTGTCACACTGGTTAGCCGCTGACCACTGCCTTTCTGACTTACTAACCGCCTAATTATGGTGATCCTACTTGCGTTCATTGTGGGACAGGAATTGGAAATAAATTAGCTCAAAAGGCATTTGCCAAGATGAACCGTTTACTATGGAATATAGGAATCCTAGTTGTGTGACGAAGTTAAACAAATTGAGCTATGCAAACTTTTCCAAAACTGCGGAATCCCAATAACGATACGCGGTTGGACATCAAAACATCAGTGGGTTTTCTTGTCCGTGACGAAACTTTTCTACACCATGTACCGGGTGGTTGTGTTTATTGCATAAGATTGTTCGTTTTTTGATGAACAACAGTTATGGTCATTGGACCCTCAAAACTGCATTACACATACGGTGCTGAAGTAACCATAGGTTGAAAGAGCAGAAAAAATATAATCAGAACACTGTTTTGTTTAGTATACGCAACTTTGAATATTTCTGTCTTTTGTTTTGGGGGATCTCAGATGTGTAAAAATGCGTTCAGGCCAGCGAATTCGATTCAATACCGTAGACCGTAGTATCTCCAGCCACCGACGCCAGATCCCAAAAGTTTCTCCAATTCTATACGCCAATTCATAGCTTGCCAACCTCGCTGTTTCTTCCTGTTTAGTTCAGTGTCTATGAATAACATACACAGTGGCAGACGTTTCCCATCCGTAGGATGTGCCCTACTCACCTCGGACGGTAAATTTGAATAATTGCCTAATGGAAGACTCTTTGCCTCGGATGCATCTCGTTGAACCTCACTATACATAGGCGATTCTAGGCTGACGATATTTAATCGTGGTCTGCTCGGAGAGGCCACTTTTCTCACCCATCATGTAACGCCTCATACGATTGCACTTTAGTCATGTTCTTTGAATAAGAAGGTTGTCTCGACGGCACCAAAGATTTTACAGGTTAGCATACGATAATCTTGCTTTAGTTAGGCCTTGAGAGATCCCACCGACCCTTCCGGCCATTATGCGAATTCCATAATAACTGAAGTTCCCAACCATTTCCAGAACGTCATTACTCAATACGGATCACTGGACGACTGTTTTGTCCTTTTTGAAACTTGTCCGTAGTATTTACTATGTATTCCTGCCGGGAGTCAAACCGTAAACTCTTGATTCGAAGCTCTGCTGTTGGTGACTGGTTAGGCTGCACACAGTACGGGATGAATGGAAGAAATAGGAATAAGTAAAATCAAAGTTGATACAAGAGCAGCCGTTCATCCTGAGTGATCATTAAAACGAACTAATATTATAAATTATAAATATTTTCTCCTCGTCAATAATCTGCCTTCATGTTAGGTGGAGTGGAAAATGGCAAATACTTGGCTTGACACACACTAATCACTTTTGATTGTGCGCTGCTATAATTTAGTCACTCTAGTATGGTGAATATCTAGGGTTGTTGATATTCGAAGAGCGATGTCTGCGCAGTATTATTAGAGTCTGGTGGAACACCTGGGTAATAGAAACCAAGTCCAGACAGTGTTAGTTACTGATGTTAGAGCAGTAACGTGCTCTTGGTCACCACGGGTTCGGATGGTTGGGAAGTTTCATGCATTCAGCACAGGTTGGCAAACAAGCCTGTTTTCGGTACTCCACCTTTTGGGAGACGGTGATTGAAGAAAAGTTATGTATGAAAATATAAAAATTCTGGCAAGTGGATTGTCATTAGGCCTCGTAGCTCAACTGGTAGAGCGTGTGCATTACAAAAGCGTAGGCGGCATCCATGCGTGGGTTTGAATCCCATCGAGGCTACTGAACTTTTCCCAATCGACATACAAACTTCAAATCTGCGGAACAACAATTAATTTCAGAATTACCAGTTTCAGTGATTAAACTGGACGAAATGAATGGTCGGAGAATTTGACAGATATGGCTCGTCGTCTTCAACAACTGCGTTCCTCAATCCACTCACTTTTTAATGCAAATCTAGTCAAAGTTAAGTCAAGAATTTGCTTTAAGACACCTTCGGGTGCATATTTAGATTTCAAATGCCAAGTACAAAAAAGAATGGAAAGAATTATATACACAACGACCGCGGAGTTAACTCAAAGCTGTGCATAATTCACGGTAAATACAGTTTGGGTGACATAAAAACGAGGAAGATAAGGAACTATGGAGGAGTCATATGCATTAGTACATGTGTGAAGGTGTTTGTACTTGGAGCGAGTAGGAACCGTTAGGGGGATA